GCAGTTAATTTTACAATTTGGCATAGTATTGACATCCTTGCACTCCAAAACAAAGCTCATTAGAATGATCTGGAAAATTGAAGGAAAATTAAAGTTTTCCTTCAATTAATTTTTTTTGTTCTCTGAATTTCTTTCTGTAGAATAGATTTGTTTTTAAAATGTATAGCCTTGGTTACTTATTCATTTAGCCCTACCAACAGGGAATACCATTCTGGACTCTAGACCTGGTTCCTGCTTTTCTAGTTTTCCAGTTTCCGTATAAATATTTAACGTATATTCAGTACATTCCTAGTAATCTTCTAATCATTTGCCTGTCTCTGTTTTCTCTTTGCTTCAAACTGTCTTACCATACTAATCATGCTAAATTTACTATCGTGTCCCTTCTCTGCTGAAACATGTTCAGTGTTGCATCACCACTTATATAAGTAAGTCAAACAAGACTGAATTTTTAGAAATTATCTAGTTTTCCCTCTTTATTTTACAGACAAGGAATAGAAGTTCCACAGAGATGATGCTATGTGTCTATGCAGAAGTGACTTGCTGTAGAGTTCTGGTGGTAGCTCTGTTCCTCCTGTACCTCACCAACTCCCATTTGACCTCCTTAGCTCAACATTTGGAGGGTCCCTCTCAAATGCAGTTTTCCTGGAACATTTCTTATCTCTTATCTGGTTTCCCTAACACACCATGAGCTTTCCTATTTCTTTTCCTTTGCATAGGACGCTTACCCTATCTAGAACACCTCACTCCCTTGCATTTAGTATTAATAGAAATTCATACTCACTCACATACCATGGCTCACTAAGCACTTAGTATTTTATATGAGTTATTTAATCCTTATAAATCCATTAGCTAAATTCTACATGATTCCCATGTTACACATATGATAGGAATGTAGGTTGATTCCATTTCTTTCCATTGTGAATAGTACTGTGATGAACATAAAAATGCATGGGTCTATTTGGTAGAAAGATTCTTTTGGATATATACCCAGTAGTGGGATTGCTGGGTTGCATGGTAGTTTTGAGTTCTTTGAGAAATCCCCAGACTTCTTTCCACAGTGGCTGAACAGTGTATATGCGTTCCCTTTTCTCTGCAGCCTCACCAGCATATGCCATTGTTTGACTTTTTAATGACAGCCATTCTAACCAGTGTGAGATGGTGTCTTATTGCGGTTTTGATTTGCATTTCTCTGCTGATTAGTGATGCTGAGCAATTTTTCATATGTTTCTTGAGCCCTTGCATATCTTCTTTTGAGAAATGTCTATGTCTTTTGTGTACTTTTTAATAGGGTTATTTTTTGCTTGTTGAATTAAGTTCCTTATAGGTTCTGGATATTAGATCTTTGTTGGATGCATAGTTTACGAACATTTTCTCCCATTCTGTAGGTTGTCAGTTTACTCTTTTAATAGTTTATTTTGCTGGGCAGAAGCTCTTTAGTTTAATTAGGTCCTAATTGTCAGTTTTTGTTTCTGTCAGAATTGCTTTTGAGGACTTAGTCATAAATTCTTCCCTAAGGCCAATGTCCAGAATGGTGTTTCCTAAGTTTTCTTCTAGGACTTTGATAGTTTGGGGCCTTACGTTTAAATCTTTAATTCATTTTAAGTTAATTTTTGTACATGGTGAATAGGAGTCTAGTTCCATTCTTTAGCATATAGCTAGCCAGTTATCCCAGCGCCATTTATTGAAAAGAGAGTCCTTCCCCATTGTTTATGTTTGTTGACTTTGTCAAAGATCACATGGCTTGTATGTGTGCAGCTTTATTTTAGATTTTGGATTAGAGGTGCTCAACCTGTATAATACTTAGAAAGTAATATTAATACAATAATTTATTAAGTGACCACAAATATCTACAACTTGACTAAGTTCTCTTCCCAATGTAATTAGAAAGAAACCAATGAAAACCAAGAAAGTAATAACGGGGAGACTGCACTGTGGGTAGGTGTGCTGAGCCCCAGCACGTAAAGCTAAGGTTTGCATTCTACCTGCACCAGTTACTTCTAATGCCTGTGACCTTGGGGATACCAGTTAATCTCTCAGAGTTTCCATGACCTCATTTGTAAAATAAGCTTAATAAGATCTTTCATGGGCTTGTGGTAGAGACCGTTTGTGAAAACTTGTTGTAAATTATAAAGCACTGTTTCAACAACAGTATTATTTTTCAGTCTCACCAGAAATTAAATATCAGTAAATCAGCTTAATGAAAAAATTACTTTATTATTATTCACTGCCTCACTGCCAGTGGTAGAGTGCAGGTTTCAGTGTTTTTGTCAGGGAACTTCTATAAGGCTTCTTTGAACCAACAGTTGTATATAAATTATTCATGAAATGGAATTGGTCAGCATGCTCTTTACACTTTCTTTACTTTTTAGACATATACTCAGATCCCACACTTTCTAAATACTAACCTAATTATTGTATTTTTAAAATAATGTAAATTATGCTTAAGAAAGGGCTATATTGTCAAGCAGCTTGTGTTCAGAATACCTGCTGCTTCTTGCTGTTTTTTTTTTTTTTTTTTTTTNACCCAGGCTGGAGTGCAATGGCGCAATCTCGGCTCACCGCAACCTCCGCCTCCTGGGTTCAGGCAATTCTCCTGCCTCAGCCTCCTGCTGAAATGCCTTTAACTTTCCTGGTTTATTCGAAATGAGATAGAATATTGCTGCTTAGTTGTTGCTTTCACATCTGCAAAAGGTCTGCTGTGTCTTTGTCACTAGGGTTTACATAAAATAACTGGACCCTTTTGCTTTTCAAAGATGAGGATGAAGATTAAGAAGAGAAAAGAAATTATGGAAGCCTGTTGAAAATTTTGAGAGGAAGAAAGTTAAGTGTAAATAGTAAGGGAGTTAATTCCTAAAATAAATGAAAAAAAATGCCATCATGTCTGGCAGCTCATATGTGTTTTCAATAAGCAGCAATGGAATGGATGCAGTGGCTCACGCCTGTAATCCCAGCATTTTGGGAGGCCAAGGCAGGCAGATCACTTGAGGCCAGGAATTTGACACCAGCCTGGCCAACATGCCGAAACCCCGTCTCTGCTAAAAATACAAAAATTAGCCATGTGCATGCCTGTAGTCCCAGAGGCTGACACATGGGAATATTCTTTAAGTCCAGGAGGTGGAGGTTGCAGTGAGCCAAGACCGCACTACTGCACTCCAGCCTGGGTGACAGAGTGAGACCCTGTCTCAAAAAAGAAACAAACAACAAAGCAGCAATGATTCTAATATTTTATTTAGGATGACATTAAGAGGGTTGATGGTGAAGATTCACAAGTGGGAAATACCCAGAACAAGTGCCCAGAGAGTTTAGAGTGTGAAAATATGTAGTAGAGCTAAGAGACAAAGGAGGCTCTGCTCTTGAGGGACCTGGGTTCTGGTTCAGATTTAACACGTGTTGGCTGCGTGTCCTTAGTCAAGGTACTTGACCTCTTTAAGCCTCAGTTTCTTCATCTGTTAAATAGAGATAATATGTCAGAGGGATCTGATTATGTGAACCCAGGGAAGAAGAACCCTACGAAGTGCCTCATTTCAGAGCTAAAATGAGTGTGGGTGGCATTACTGGAAGTAGGATAGTAGTAAGCACCATGGGATCAGTTACTACCTTAGCTTCCATCTGACTACTTATGCCCATGCCTAAATTCATTTATCAGTAAATTGTTCTCAGATTCTAGAAGCTATTGACAAGACCAAGAAGAATCATACATATGATGTTATGGTAAACTTGTGCAAGATTACCTAGTCCAGCAAATGTGCATGTGATCTTAGTTTTTTGTAAGGAAAATAAAGTTTTTAGAGACAAAATGAGGGAAAAAATAAGTCTGCAAAGAAAGATAGACCTTTGAAGATGTAATGGTGCAAAACCACTGTTTTATGTATGTTATCTTAATACCCGATGGGCTAAGTCAATTGTTGGCTAAATTACTCATCTGGGTATTTTAATGATGATATAAGAGAAGGGTGGGGACAGCAAATTTAGTGCAGTGTGTAGGAAGAGAACCTAGAACTCTGTAACTTACCAGGATTATATGCCTCCAAAGTCAGTTGCCAATATAGCTCTCAGTAAAGAACATGGATTGAGTGTTTGGCATATTCATCTATCTTAATTCTAAGTGACCATTTGACATAGGTATCTTGGTCTTCATTTTATAAATGAGAGGAACCAACATACAGAGTTTAGATTTGTCCCAGATTCCTTCATCCCAAATATATTGCTTATTCACTTATGCTAGAATGACTGATGTCTGTCAGATGTTGTTTATAGCCTTTAAAACAACCTAGACAAATATTTGAGACTTCTCAAATTAAGAGAATTAGGTTACACCACAAACTGAATCTTTCTAAATTATTTGTTGTAAAGCGTTTGTATCTCATAAGTAGCATTGTTCTTTTGAAGTTTCACTGATCGTTTTTTAGGTTCAACATACAATAGTAGTTCTCAGATTTGGGTGCACATCAGAATCACCTGGAGGACTTGTTAAGTAAGATTCAGTAGGTCTGGTATGGCCTGAGAATTTGTATTTCTAACAGGTTCCCTATTGCTGGCACATCACTTTGAGGTCCACACTTTGAGAACCATTGACATAAAAAGCATATACTTTATGATTAATTCTATGGAGGAACAAGTAGGAAAACAGTCCTGGAGGGGAATTCCAAAATCACAGATGGAAGCTGAAATTCAGATCATGTTTACAAAACTCAGTAGGTTATACCTAGCCAGGCATAACTGAATTTGGAGTCCAAAAGATTTGCATTGTCACTCTTTATTTTGAAGAGTGCCTTTGATTACAGAGGGAAATCAAGGATTAAAGATTAATATACATGTAAATATTGAAATCCATTGGTAACTTTAAAAAGCACAACAGTTTTGTATGTTTTTTTCCAAACCACTACAAATATTATTAATTGATGTGTAAGAGTTTTCTTATGGAATTCTTTTTCTTTCTTTCTTTCTTTCTTTTTTTTTTTTTCTTTTNTTTTTTTTTTTTTTTTCTTTTGTCTCTGTAGGTGGCAAATCTTCCGAAAGACTATATGATAACCCTCAAATATGTCCCCGGGATGGATGTTTTGGTATGTAAGCTACATTTCTGAGTTTCATTTTAGTAGCTCACAGAAGAAATGGGATCGTTCATATTGAGATACTACATTAGTTACTATTCAGCAGCTTGCTTTTTATCAGGATTTGAAGAAGTTATCTTTGGAATTTGACTTGCAGGGCTTTTTTTTTCCCCTCTCTTAAGCAACTGTTAAACTTAATCAGTGATCATTTCAGCACTGTAGACCTGTATAGTTATTCTTCAGCATCCTTAGTGGATTGGTTCCAGGACACCTTCCAACTCTCCTCCCTCGGATATCAAAATTCTAAGATCTTCAAGTCCTTGCTGTGAAATGGCATAGTATTTGCATGTAACCTATACACGTTCTTCTGTATGCTTTATTTTTAAATTTTTAAATATTTAAAATTTTTATTTTTCACCATGGAAGGCCCACGGGAACTCCTGTATGCTTTAAATGAGTTCTAAATTAATTCTAATACCTAATATAATACATATATTACATAAATCATCGTTATACTCTGCTTTTAAATTTTGTTTTATGTTTTCTTGTTGTTTGAATATTTTCCATCTTCGGTTGGTTGAATACACGGATACAGAGGGCCATCTGTACTCCCAAAGTAAATGAGATTTATCTTCTTTAGACCTAGTCACAGATTTCCTTAAACATCCCCCCAAAAAGGGTTTGAGTATAAGTTTATGTAAATTATTTTCATAGATGACCTCTCTCACGTATTTAATTTGAGAACACAAATATTTCGTCTCTGAATTTACCAGCAGTGCAATAGATTCTTAGAACCTTACGACAAGTGTGTTTACTATTATAAATACTGCTCTATTGCTGAAACCAAGAAATTTTATTTTTCTTATTACATAGTATCAGAATTCATACATTAAAAAATATTTCAAGCATAGAAAATAATGTAATATCTGTATACCCATCACAGAGCTTATCAAACCTTAACCATTGTGCAATATTTGCTTGAAATATTTTTTTAATAATGAAACGTTGCAAGTGTAACTAATGCCCTATGTATGCGCCTTCCCTAGCTTCATTAATCCCCACTTTGTCTCTTAGTGGTAACAGTTATTCTGAGCTGGACTTTTTCATTCCAATGTGTGCTTTCAGAGCTTGTAGTGTGGACAGTATTCCCTGGAGTTCCGTACAGCAGAAGGAGAATTCTCTTATATGTTTACTGCAATGTATGCACCCATACATAAGACATTCAGCTTTGTGCATATTTAATAATTTTCTTGGCTGATTAGAGAAACTCTGAGGAAGGCAAAATAGCTATTATGATTCCTATTTTACAAATGATATTTTGAGATTTACAGCTCAAAAGTATTTTGTCCAAGGTTATGCAACTAGAAAGTGACAGAGTCTTAAAAAGAAACCCCCAGGTCATCAGACTCTTAACCCTGGGTTACAGAAGGTAAGGATCTAAATAATTACAATACTTAGGGAAAGTGTTTGAAGGGAAGCCTCTAGGTAATAAAGACCCATCCCAGATCCTTCCTGACTGCAGCAGCATTTAGGATTGTGATTGCCAAGCATTCAAAGAAATCCTGGGGCTCTTTGAAAAACAAGTGTTAAACTGAAAACAACTAAATAGAATATTTTGTACTGGTATAATCATAGCCTGTGCTAAATCATAGATTTCAGTGTAGACTGGTGATAGCAAGAGCCAAGCTTGTGAAAATAAAGCTGATTCACTGCCACATATTTTGTGCTTGTTTCTGTAATTGAGAAAAGTCTATTTGATTCTGGCATGCTGTCCTGGCACAACTGCAGAAACACTGTTCTTGGCCACCACTGTGGACAAGAAAAATAAGGCCATGCTTAGAGCATTGGGCAGAACCAGGGGTCTCACCCTTTGTTTTACCTTCATGTTGAAATGTTGGTTTCTGCCAAGACCAGAGGAGTTTCTCAGTGGGGAGGCCTCTGATTATTTGCCAGTGGTCAGAGTCCCAGCTGCCTTATCTTTTGTCTTTAAACAATAGAGGGTGGAGTGGGATTGGGTGCCAAAAAGATTCTCTGGGGCCAAAGCAATAAAATTCTGCCTGCAGGCACTGGGCAGAAGAAAGCTCTAGAATAGAATACACTTTTTTTTTTCTTTCTTTCTTTTTAAAAACAGCTAAATTCTCCTGGAAAAGGGAGTTCACTTTTCCAAGGTCCTTCTTAGAAAATTACCTAGCAGATTCTGTCTCACAAATAGCAGGGTATGATCAACCACTTACTGTTTAAATCTAACGATAATCACCAATGCTATTTTAAACTCTTTGAAACTATTATATTGGCAGACTGTTAAAATTTCCTTTAACTTCCTAACATTAAAAAATACCTAAATGTTTCTGGTCCTTTACATTGACTAGTAATGTTATTGTAGAAAGAATAAAAATGACATTGCTGTATTGCTGCTGCACATCTTCATTCATTTTAACTTCCATAGCATTACATAAACTGAGTTGCTTGTGATATTTTGAGTTAAAAACTCTTCATTAATTTAATTTTTTTTATTTTTAGCTATTATGGATACATAAGAGTTGTATATATTTATGGGATACACGTGATATTTTGATACAAGCATGCAGTATATATTGATCAAATCAGAGTAACTGGAATACTCATCACCTAAACTTTATCATTTCTTTGTGTTAGGAAGATTCCAATTCTACCCTTTTAGTTATTTTGAAATATACATTTTTATTAACTGTAGTCACCTATTTTGTTACCAACACTAGATCCTATTCCTTCTGCAACTTTTACTTAAAGTATATATTCATCAGTTTACTTTAAATTTTTTATTTGCAAATAATTTTAAATTTACAAAAAAAGTTTCAAGAATATTTAAAGAACACCATGTTCCCTTTAATCCAGATTCACCTATTTTTAACATTCTGCCTCATTTGCTTTATCAGTTGCTTTCTTTCTATGTATGCATTTGTGTTTTATTATGTTTCTGAACTTCTTGAATAAGTTGTATACATCATGGCCCTTTACTCTTAAATACGTCAGGTGTATTTCCTAAGTAAAGGATAGTTTTTTACCTAAACACAGTACATTTGCAACTTCAATAAATTTTATAATAATTATAATTCTTTAATCTAGGTCTGTATTTCAATTTAATCTTCCTTTTTTTTTTTTTGCATTTTTTTTCCTCCAGTATAATATCTAATCTAGGATCATAATTTGCATTTTGATACCATGTGAATAATGACTCCCAAATATACCTTATTCTGGGAATATATGACCTAACATGGCAAAAATGATTTTGCAGATGTAATTAAATTAAGGATTTTTAGATGAGAAATTTATTTTGGATTATCTGGGTGGGCCCACTCTAATTTACATGAGTCCTTATAAAAGGGAGGTAGGAGAGTCAGAACCAGAGAGGGAGATTTGAAAATATTACACTGCTGGCTTCAAAGATGGAAGAGGGATTCACAAGCCAAGGAATGTACATGGCCTCTGGAAGCTGGAAAAGGTTTCCTTTAGAGCATCCAAAAGAAACACATCCCTAATGAACACCTTGATAATAGCCTATTAAGACCTATTTTAAACTTCTTACCTCCAGAACTGTAAAATAATAAATTTGTGCTGCCTTAAGCCACCAAGTTTATAGTACTTTGTTATAGCAGCAATAGGAAGCTACTATGTCATGTCCCTCTAGTCTCCTTTAAGAGTTTCTTGGACTTTCTTTGTCTTTATGGTTCTGATATTTTTGAATGAGACAGTCTTCCCCTTTAAGAAAAGTGTTTCTCTTTGCAACATTGACTGATATTTCTTAATGCTTCTGTTGAGCTTATGCATTTCAACTGACAATGCTACGTAAGTGATGATGCGTCCTCAGGTTACCACATCCAGAGGCACACAGAGTCCATCTTCTCATGGTGCTGTTTGTTTTGATCATCTGGTTAAGGTGTTCAGCTATTTATGTATATTTACTCATTCACAATTTTGGGAGAGACACTTAAGACCCTGTAAGCAAGGCTTCTCCTTATCAAAGTTTCTCCCGCATATTTAGCATCTATTGATGATACTTACCTGAACCAATCTTTGTGATCATTGTCAGTTTTTCATTAAGACTTTTTAAAGGCACAGCTAAATGTGGATGTGATTGGCAGCATATAGATAATACTCTAACAATAAGCCTTCCAGCCTTCTTCATTCTTCAATACCCTTCCTCAGGCATGCACAATTTGACTTACTGGCTATTCTCACCTTCTTTTGCCTGGCCCTGTTACCTCTGGGCTCTTTCCATTTTCTTTGATACCTCAGGATTTATTATTGATGTTTTAACCCTTCCTGAATAAACAGAGTGATTAAAAAAGAAATACATCTGATTACTTCATTCCTTCCTCTTTACATTAATTGAATGGCTTTCCGTTGCTCTTAGGAAACAGCAAAAGGAGCTGCTTCAACAAGGCCTCCAAGGCTATAGTGATCTGGCACCTTTCCAAATCCTTTTTTAGTCCCTCATCATTACTTGTTCCTTGCTGCCACATTTCTTCTTACTTGGCTTTCTCTGTACCTGGAATACTGATTGGTTCTTCTGTCTAAGTAACACCTGACTCTTTTAGATTTGAGTTTAGATTTTTGATGAAACGAAATTGTTCTGTTGGGAACTCTTTTTATAGCACTCTTCGGAGTAGCAGTTTTGTATGTATTTGTGGGATGATTTAATGGATAATCTTCCACTAACCTGTAAACTTCACAGAAGCAGAAACTATACTCTTTTGCTCTGCATTAGATTCTCAGTGCCTCATGGATGCTCATAGGCATCTAATGAATATTTGTTGAAAGGAAGTGAAGAAAACAAGGAAGAAGAAAAGTTCCATAGCATATAATCATTTGTAATTTCCTTAAGGCACAGATTTGAACTAAGTATAGTCCACAAGGTTATGATGATGAAGTGAGTGCCTATAACTCATCACACAGTATCTGCACTGCAACATTATTATCTTCTTTTAGATATTTGTGCATTTTCTGAAAGATTTTAGGTATAAGAATTGTAT